ACCAAACACGCTGGAGTGTTGGGGAAAAAAGCATTGGCCCCATGAACCTAGCCTTCGGCGATGCGATCGGGCGAGCCTCGGGCCTCGACCGTGCGACCAGATCTGCAGGAGACTTACTGCATACTGTGGCTGCGACGCAGTAGAACTTCTGCCTCTTGGAGAAGCGCACTTGCCGCATCACCCCGAGCATCTCATGCAAGCACTGCTCCCCGAAAAGAAGCGCCAACCTCTTGCCCTCGGACCATTCCTTCCATTTCTTCTTGCCCACTTTGTGATCGTCAGTGGCCGCTTTGTTGTTCAGTTTGTTGATGTACTTACTTTGAATCTTCTTCAACTTGTTGATGGTGGCGCTCTCCACGCGGTCCAGCAAGTTCCCGAACACGTGTTCTGGCCCGGCGTCGCCCTTGAAGTTTTGCAGCATCGCCTGACAAGTCTCATCACTGTCCGTGGCCGCGTAGCTCTTAATGTTGCACTTGAGACCCTTCTTCATCAGTGCCGCCTCGATGAAGCGAGCAGCCTGTTCTGGACAACCCATGCCAGAATCCTCCCGCCCGGCCACGCGGGCTCAAGCGCATGCGCAGCATGGCCGACGTGGCTTGAGAAACGCCCTGAGCCCCCCAGGGCCCCCCAGGATCCAAGCGGTGAAGTGAGTCGCTTGGGAAGCGTTTGCAAATTTACACCAGTATAGTCAGAACTCAATCGGTGCTTGGGGGGCGGGCTAACAAGACCGAAGGGAAGTGCTCGACTGAGCGTATCCAGACCAAGCAAAAGCGATGTCTTTCAGCCCCAGACCCGGCAGCCTACGACGGCAACAACTGCACAAGCCTCAGAGCACTTTGCATGGACTGACCAGGGCAAGAAACTACAACAGACAAAGCGGTCCAGCTACTCAAAACGCGCGAAGCGCTATACATACGAAGTGGTCAAGACCACTGTGAGGCCCTCTGTCGTTGTCAGCTCATGATTTTGGGCCTTGCCCATCTGTCCCAGTCGTGCCAATATACTCTCGGTGTAGACGTGGGGCCAATCGAAAAGCTCCTTGATGCTGTTTGGTCCATTTGGCCTCTGGCGTTGATCAATCGAGTCAGCACTACTGCCACGGCCACGCATCTTTATTCTGCGACGTTTCACTGAAGGGCCGATCTCATCTTCCACATCTCTCTCCAACATAAATTTACCGAGTGAAATGATGCAGTGTCTGGGTGCAAAAAATAACCGAAGCGATATCTGGCGCTTCTTGGTGACAAACAGCTACGGACAATTGAAACAAGTATACGAAGTCCCAAGAAGGCTCCAAGATGGCCCTCCGGAGGTCCCAAGCGGGCCTCAGAACCAGCGGTCTGATACAGCATGTTTGCGGGCCTTGTTGGGGCTCTCTTGGGGCTTCATGTGGCCCTCTTGGGTCCTTCTTGAGCCCTTTGGAGGCCTCTTGGGGCTCTCTTGTGCCCCCGCGGGACATTCTTGGTGGCGCCATTGTGGCTCTCTTTGGGGTCCCCTGGGAGGCTTTTGTTCCTCATCTGGGTCTCGCTGGTTTGTTAGGCTTCCTGTCGAGAAGGCGGTTGGCCCGAGCCCCAAGCAGTGTTCAGAGTCGGCGGGGCTGATTCGCGCACAGCTTGAGAGAGAGATGACTAAGACAACAATTCAGGTGGAAGCTCCCATTTACCACGCGGAGTGCCTGGCACCCTCGAGGTAAGCGCTTCGGCGAGCTGTGCACCTTGGAATTTCGCAAGACGCTTGCACCACTGGGATTCCGCAAGACGCTTGCACCACTGGAATGCCGAAGCCCCAAGAGGGCCCCAAGTGGACCCCAGGAAGGCCCCAAAGGTGCTGTATCAAACCGTGGTTTAGATACAGCACCTCTGCGGCCTTCTTCGGGCCCTTCTGGGCCTCCAGGGGCTGCGGAATTACAATTGTGCAAGCGTCTTGCGGAATTCCAGTGGTGCAGGCGTCTTGCGGAATTCCAGTGATGTACAGTTCGCCGAAGCGCTACTCTCGTGGGTCTTCCAGGGGGCCATTCATGTTGGATCCCTCCTGGGCTTCGTTTAAATTGTGCGTGGCCCCAAAAAGGGCCCAAGTGGACCCCAAGTGGCTTGGGGCCCTCCTGAAGCCCTCGTAGGGCCCCGAGGGGCCCCAAGAGGGGCCCGAAAGTGTTGCAAGAGGGCCTTGACGAAGAAGCGGTGCCTCCAGAGGCGTGGGCCCACATCGCACCACACAGGGCTTCATTCAGACATCAAATCATGTAAGAACCTCGCATAACATAACATGTGACAACACAGGGTGCTACAACGTAGCGTACATGGCAGTGCACGGTTGCGGCAGCACTGCATATTGCATATGATATCGTAACATATCGCCACAACATTGCATAGTGCTCCATGTCGCATCACAGCATAGCCCAGCATAGCCCGTCACAACATCGCAAAGCTTGACACACTGTTAACTACACAGAGAACCCTAAAGGGTGTGATTCGCATGAGCGGCATTGCCATAGCTAGGTGACCTAGCTATGGCAATGTCGATCTTGCGAATCACCCCATCGCACCAACTTTCAGGTAACCGTTACCAGCGTGGTCGTGACCAGCCAGTGACATCCTGGCAACGTTCTTCATGGCACGCCTCATGACCTTCTCACTCCGGACTCCACGACCCTCTCCATGTTCATCCTTGCCCCACCCCCCTCCTCATTCCCCTCCTCACCCTCACCTCCCCGGCCACCTCCTGTTCCACTCCATTCCCCTCTTTCTTCCATTCTTGGGACGAACAGTCAATTTTCGGGGCCAGCGGCCCGTTTTCAAGGTTTGCGGCCAGTTTTGGAGGTTGGCGGCCAATTTTCGAGGTTTGAAGCAAGTTTTTTGGGCTGGCGGCCAGTTTTTTGGGTGTCCAGCGCTCCTGGAGGGGCGGGTCTGCCGGACCGCCCCTGGCAGGCTGAGAGGGGCGGGGTGCTCGACGGTGCTCGACGGTGCTCGACGGTGCTCGACGGTGCTCGACGGTGCTCGACGCTGGGGGTGCTCGACGGTGCTCGACGGTGCTCGACCCCTGGACGGCCAACCAGGGGATTTCGAGGCTTGGATGAAGCCCCAAGCTGGTTTTCGAGTGCGTTTTGCCAAATTTGTTCCGAAACGTACACATTCTGCTTGAATAGTGGCCCACCTGTTCTGTTAATGGTCGTTGGCGCCGCATTAGGATTCCAGCGCAGGTGTCTCCTCTTATTGCCATATCCGTAAGGGCTTCGCCCCCTGCCGCCGGCCCCCTCTCTCGGAGAATGGGCCATGGAACAGCTAAGTCATGAGGTCTTGGCGCTGTCGTGAAGCAGTATCGAAACTTCATGCGAAGCCGATTCGCAATCAGCAAAACCAACTGATCACAAGAGGGGTTACCACACCTGGCGATTGGTAAGACGTGTATGGTTTACGGGCTTGGTTACCACACCTTGCGATTAAAGGGCCGAGGGAGTTCTCGCAGTTTGGGTTACCACGCCTTGCGATGGATGTGCGTGAAGGGTGGCACCGAATTTCAGAAATGTGGCAAATCCCCCCCTGTCTGTTTTTGGACCCTGACCCCGCGGATCTGCGTGAGGGGTGGCACCGAATTTCAGAAATGTGGCAAATCCCTTGACCCTGACCCCGCGGATCTGCGTGAGGGGTGGCACCGAATTTCAGAAATGTGGCAAATCCCATGTGTTTTTGAACCCTGACCCCGCGGATCTGGTGAGGGGTGGCACCGAATTTCAGAAATGTGGCAAATCCCGTGAGTTTTTGGACCCTGACCCCGCGGATCTGCGTGAGGGGTGGCACCGAGTTTCAGAAATGTGGCAAATCCCCTGTGTTTTTGGACCCTGACCCCGCGGATCTGCGCGAGGGGTGTCGATTTCGAGCCCCCCCAGCAATTCAGACAACGCGCCCAGGGGGTGCTAAAAAGCCGGTTTGGGCCTCCCCCCCCCTCGCGCGGTCAATCAACTAGTTACAGTAACCAGCAATAAGCAGATTTGTAACACTGGAAACAGCAAGCTACAACTGGTACAGGAAACTGCGAATCCCGCTCCTCGCAGCCTGGTGGCCCCACAAGGGGGCCGGCGGATTCCTTTCCCTTCCTCCTCCTCCTCCTCCTCCTCCTCCTCCTCCTCCTCCTATTACTATCCTGACCCCCTCTCCTTCACCCCCTCCTCCCCTCCCCCGTCCAACACCTGCCCATCCACCCACCCTTTCACCTTCCCGTCCCGGATCACCACGGGACCTCGCCGCCCCCTGGGGGGCTTGCGATCTGCGCAATTGTCGCCTATTTCGTGGGCCCCTGGGAGGCCCAGCGGAGGTACGTCCCACGCGGATTACCTCGGTACCTCGCCGCCCCCTGGGGGGCTTGCGATCTGCGCAATTGTCGCCATGTTCGTTCGTGGGCTCCTGGGCGGCTCAGCGGAGGTAGGCCCCACAGCGGATCACCAGGGGACCTCGCCGCCCCTGGGGGGCTTGCGATCTGCGCAATTGTCGCCACTTTCGTGGGCTCCTGGGAGGCCCAGCGGAGGTACGTCATACGCGGATCACTACGGGACCTCGCCGCCCCTGGGGGGCTGCGATCTGTGCAATTGTCGCCACTTTCGTGGGCTCCTGGGAGGCCCAGCGGAGGTACGTCATACGCGGATCTCCACAGGACTTCTTGCTGCGCTCTTCTGAAAGCATTGTTGGGTGCTCTTTCAGCGCATTGCGGGTCCTTCAGAATGCCAGTCAGCATTGAGTGGTCCTGAGTGTAATCGCCATATGTATAGAACGGGTTGGGTACGTCACATGGTAATTTTCTCCGTCTTTCAACCGGACCTTGAAGTCGTCGTGGCAGCACGATGGCCAACTTGTCCCTGATTGCTTTCCTCTTTCTGCTGCTGCTGCTCCTCCCCCTCCTCCCTGCGTCGTTGTCGCTGTGCGCAGCAGTTTCGCTGGAACCACCTTTTGCGTAAGGGAGGTCTCCAAGTCGACTCTGTGTGGCTGCCAGCTGTCCAGCACCCCACCAGCATGTTCAGCCCGCGCGCGATGTTTCAAGATGGTGGGGCGGCTCTCGCCGAGCAAGGGAAGTGCAAGGCGGTGTGCCCCGAGTCGGGCGGGCTCAGCTCGGCCCCCACGCGATGCCCCACGGCAGAGCTGTGCGCCTTTGGCGACGACCAGGATGCCGACGCGTTCGAGGAGATTTTGGGCGCCACCGCCTCGCCGAAGGACGGCGACGAGCCCGCGCTGCTCGAGGCGGTGCTCCGCTGGCGCCGAGGGGGGCTCCTGCGCGAGTCGCAGCGCCACCGAGGGGTGCCCCCGGGCGCCTCCGGTCCGTGGCGTACTGGGAGCAGAGGGCCGCCGCCGCCCGGCAGACGGTGGGCTCGCCCTGGGAGCTTGGCGTGAGGCAGCGCCGCCCGCGCCACGAGGATCAACGAGCGAGTTCCTCCACTCGCCAAGTGCCTGCTCGCAAGCGCCCGGGAAACACACGTCTGATTCGGTATGATTTCTCGTAGGTCCCCCGCGGCGGGTCCAGGCCATTTGCGAGTAGTCACTGTGCGGGTAGTGGAACGCGCTCGTTCAGAGGAGGACCGCCTCGGTTTGGGGGCGGCTCCGAGGGCTCCGGCAGGAGGCGCCGGAAACGAAGGTGCCGCTGACAGCCCCAGCAGCTGGGCGGGCGCTGTCTCCAGGGAGTTGCGCCGTGGGGCGCGCTGGCAGTCGGCGCCGCCAGCCCCGCCGCCAGGGTCGCCCTCGGCAGCACTCGGGGCCGCTCTGAGGTCGCGTGGTCGGTCGTACTACCCGGCTGGGAGCCGCTAGGTGAGCATGAAAAATATTGGGGGTGGACAGAACCCACACACTGACACGTCGATTAGTGAATTGTCCGTTATCGGTTCTCGAGAACCCGCATCGTGAGGATGAGCGACTTTCTTAATGTTGCCCTGGCATCATTGCCCCTTCGGCCCATCCCTGGCCGCTTTCGGTGGCCAGCCTCGCTCGAAGCTCGTTAACGTGGCGCTCCAAGGTCCTTGCATCGAAGAAGAAAGCTCGCCATGAGCAGAATTTGTTAGCGATCCGCGCGGACTTTTTGGATCCGCGCTGGGACCCCTCGCAGGCGCCTCTGGCGCCCTTCCTTTTTTTGACTACACAATCGCTGGCGAGCTCAGCCAGAGCCACTCGCCCGAGAGGCATGCTGCGTCAGTTTCACGGTCCCGCGCCCGTGCCTGGCAGGCGCTGAGCGCTCCCTTCCTTGCCCGGGGGTCTCGGATGCTCGTGCAGGCACTAACTGCCAGTCACGATCGTGAGCGTGCGCGGATGACGTTTTGGGCGGCGAGCGAGGGGGGGGAAATGAGAAGGAGAAGGCCTTCTCAGAAGGCGGCGGAGCTTCTCAGAAGCTCTCGCGCCGTCTGATACGCTTTTTGTCTTCGGGGAAGGGCTAACAAAAACTTCTCAGAAGGCCGGGAGACTTCCGTACCTTCTGAGAAGGCCTTCTCCTTCTCACTTCCCGCTCGCTCGCCGCCAGGTTTTCGCAGCAGCCGAAGTGTCCAGCCCCGCGCGGGAGCGGGAGGACGATGGCAGCGGCGGCCGCCCCCACCTCCGCCTCCCTCCTCGTCTGCCTCTCTCCTCAGCCCTCCTCCGCATCACCTCTTCTCCTCATCGCCTTCCTCTTGCTGCCCCGAGCATGGGCAGGGTCGCCAGCGAGCTTCACTACGGTCAACTTAACTGACTGCATAAAGATGCTCGCGCACGGCGCCAATGTGTCTCATTTTTTTAATCTTCTAATTCGTTTATTTCCAACCATCCTGTGGTGTTGGGTTCTTGTTTTGGAGAGACAGTCCACGCGATCCTCACTCCTTCCTCCCCCCCCTCTATCCTCACATCCCTGCCTCTGCCCTTCGCACCAGCCACGTTTCGGCACACCTCCCACACGTTTCGTGGACCTGTAAGGAGCTTCACCGAAGGTCCCAGTGGCAGGGTCCACATGCGTTACCCGGCCCATCTCGGCACACCCCTCACGCTTCGTGGCCCCACTGGGAGCTCCACCGAAGGCCCCAGTGGCAAAGATCGCATGCGATTCCCCGCCCATCTCGGGCACACCCATCGCACGCTTCGTGGCCCCATAGGGAACTCCACCGAAGGCTCCAGTGACGGGGTCCACACGCTGTCCCCCATCCATTTGGTGCACTCCTCAAATGTTTCGTGGCCACATGCGGAGCTCTACCGAATGCCCCAGTGGCAGGGTCTACATGCGCTTCCCCACTCCTGTTGGCACACCCCTCCCACGCTTCGTGGCCAGGGAGCTCCACCGAAGGCCCCAGTGGCACGGTTCACATGTGGTTCCCCGACTGTTTCGGCACACACCTCGCACCTTTCGTGGCTCCTTAGGGAACTCCTCTGAAGGCCCCAGTGGCAGGGCCCACGTGCGGTTCCCCACCCATTTGGGCACACCCCTCACACGCTTCGTGGCCCCATTGGGAGCTCCTCCGAAGGTCTCAGTGACAGGGTTCGCACGCGGTTCCCCGCCCATTTTGGCACATTCCTCACACGCTTCGTGGCCCCGTAGGGAGCTTTACCGAAGACCCCAGTGGCATGGTCCACACGCGGTTCCCCGCACGTTTCTCGGCCCCATAGGGAGATCCACCGAAGATCCACCGAAAGCGGTGCCCACAACGCTGTACTCACGGTTGCATATGATTGGGCCATTTGCCAGGGAAGTTTTTTTATAGCGTTTGCCCCAAGCGCGGCGAAGGGTTCACGCCCGCCGTCTGCTGCTTCGCGAGAACCTGAACATGTTGCACCCGCGCTAGTGCCTCGCCACTGAAACGTGGCGACGACGCGTCGCGCACTTTCCTCTGCATGCGGGGCGCTTTGAGGCGGGCCGTCGGCCAGACTATCACGAGGTGGGTTGAGGGCAGCGCAGGGAGGTACGGGCACTGGAGAGGAGGAGGAGGAGGAGGAGAAGGAGGAGGAGGAGGAAGTATCCAAGCATGCAGCGGCAACTGGGGAAGCAGGTAGCACAGAGTTAATGTCAGACGCTCGTTGTTACCGACGCCGTTTGGCTCAAACTTCCAACGTTCGGAAGGCTGACTGATCCGAGCGTTGTGTAAAATCAAACGCGCGGTGCTATGTTGAATCTTCCTTTATATTTTGCACGGTAGCGGAACGCCAGATACAATGACAGGACTTGCATCAGTTGCCTTTGCCCCAGGCCCACAGGACCCACCCATTGAATTCCGCGTACTTGCGGATTGGGAGGCTTGGGTTAGACTGCGTGTCCAGAGGTCAATGGACAGGTGTGTATCGTCAACAGTTGATGGACATGTTGATTCTGTGAAGACAGCACTTCATGCCACCGATGAGGAAACCAGGGATTCCATTACCGACCGCATCTCCACGGACCCCAGGGGGATTACCCAGCAAGAAGCCTTCGACATACTACGCACGCAGCAGAAAATTAATGCCATGCTGACGAGTGTCGTTAACCGAAACGCTGTGGTGGAACGAGAAACGCGCAATCTTCACTGACAGGTTGAGAGCATCGCGGCGAGCACGAAGACACATGATGACACGTTGGTGGATCTCTAAATTAAGCGATGCCCTCAACAAGGGCTGAGGAAAAAGGAGGAGGCGGCAACAGCCGTCCTGTCAGTGAATTCGAAGCCCTAGCAGAGCCTAAAAGCTTTTACCGGCGACGAAGCTAAGTTCAGGGAGTGGGACGACAGGCTACTCAATGTTCTGGCGCAGGTGCGTATTAACCACCGTGGAGCAGTCAAGTCCGTAAGCAAGAAATTGGAGACAATGGATGGAAACATCACTGAAGGGGTTTCGCGGGACTTGTTACGAATTCTAAGTGGGCGATGAACACACGCCGAGGACCAGCAGGCCAGCATGGCCAGACAGCAGCAAGATGATGATGAAGGAGAGTTGGAGTTTACCGACGACGACATGAACAAACTCGATGAGGATCGCCAGTACGTCCTTAACTCAAAGTTTGAGGGGCCCAGCGCAAATTGCAACTCAAGGGCTTAACTGTCGGAGATGGACTTGTCGCATATCAGACATCTGCACGTATTACCCGGCTTTCACGGAAGGTGCGTTGGCGCAAAAGATGTACCAGGCGATGGGCCCCGAGCAGCCCGAACGAGTTAAATAAGTATTGGTCAAGTTAGAAGAACGGAGTGCTTTGGTGCAGGCGTTCGAAAAATATGGGGGTATCGTGCACGCTGCCCCTGCCCTTCAGAGTCATTGCCCTCCGCGCGATCATGAATCATTTGTGTGATTCGTTTGTCAAATCGCAAAAGGGCCTTTTCGTCCGGATGTCCTTAGCGCAGACACTTACCAGAAAGTCTGCACTAAACGTTCAGACTGGGCCAGGGTAAGAAGTTGGAGGCGGACGCGAAAGATGACGACGCCGCGGGCGTTGGGATTATTGACAGGGCGCTTCCAGTTCCAACGCGACTTGCAACGCAGGTGGCTGGGATGTCCGAGGATGGGTTGATGATTGCGGAATGTGGTGGCCCCATGACGGTTGCTGGCGACTTCCAATAGAATTCGATAATGACGAGGCGGGCGCGGTCACCAAATACAGAGGAAAAGGTTGCCAAAATTTTCAAGTGCGGCGGATTTGGGCACCTGGCCAGAGACTGTCGGGAAGTCCAATGATCACGACTGAGTGAAAAGGCGGCAAATGGGGCAGAAGGCAAGGGCAGTTTCCGAACCTCTGAGTGCAATTGCCTTCAGGGAAAGCACGGTGGCAAGAGCCAACGCCGAGGGCGAGGTAGCTGCGGTGGCGCGTGGTTCGTTCAGCTACCGACCGTGAGTGCTACGCGTGTGGAGGCAAGGGGCATCTCGCCGTTGATTTACCGACGTCGGCTGACGAATTGAAGCAGGGTGGCCGGGGGTGCGTGGAGCCACCGTGCTAGGACAACCACGACGGCGCGCTTTCGGGGGATCACCGAGCGAGGGCGATCGGATGGACATGGTTAACTCTGCTGATCCACCGACCATTGATGAGGCGCCTGAGGAATGGGGCAGTCAGAGGCATGACAGTAAACAAGGGAACATAATCGAGGCCCTGCGTGTGCGCAAATGCCACCGAGTGCATCAACGTGAGCGCGCGGAATCGGGTAACCGCATAGTCTTTGACCGCGATGGCAATCCCAGAGGTCCAAATGATCAAAATGATGACCGGGTCAATGTCCACCATCATCATGTAATTATGATCGGGGTATTTCTTCTAACAGCAATATTGACCGGTCATGCGTTTACATCATACCCAAGGATCATAACATATCATAGTTTCATGCCGTCGCAGCTACGAGCACACACATACTCGCATTTATATGTATTCTGTGTATATATATACTTATACTATATCCCCGAACCAACCCGCGACCCATCCGCGAACC